GGACGACGAAGGAAAGAAACCAGTGGAAGACGCCTTACAAATTCTGACAAAAGAAAAGGCAACAGAACAAAAAGAACCAGTCACAGAAGCGCAGCTTGTAGTGGTAGAGAGGAAAACTGCTTCAACTCAGCCAAAGGTGCTGCTCGATCATGAAACTCCTGGTGATGAGTTCGCAGACGTGGCAGAGGAAGACAACGAAGCCACGGTGGAGTCCTTGCTCAGTAATATTGAATCGATAATCGAAAAGCCATCTTCAGGACAATCATACAGTAAAGAAGTGGAATTAGCACCAACGAGCGACAAAGAACCCGTCGAGGAAGAGGCAGTTTTCAAGATTGAGAAGAGGGGAGCTTCACTCAACATGGGGTCGCCCCTTGATCCTGAAATCTTTGGAGAACAATTCCAAGAAACGTATCCTGATACACAAGAAAAGCAATACATTGTCGACGAAGTTGTTACAGTTATAGTTCAAAAGAAACCCGTTTCTCATGCTTTTTATGACGAGCAGGAAGGTGACACCCAAGAAACAGAATCCTTTTCTAAGGACGAGCCTCCGTCGGTTGTTGTGTTAGACATACCTCAAGTAGAGAAAAGGAAGGAAGGCGAGGACTCCGTAAAAGAAACAGCTGCCCCTGTTGTACGGAAAAATGAAGTTGAGTTTTATCCTGATCTTTTAGTGCTAGAGGGAGAGGAAGAACAAAAACAAAAGGAATTTGACGTGGCACACAGCAAGCAAGCAGTAAACAAAAATTGGCAAGACACTAAGCCGACCGAATTCATCACGACCACAACATCGGTTGTAACGTCAATAGAAAGTACTGATGAACAATCTGCAAACGACAGTGAAACCATTGTAACCAAAACGGTTTACGAGAAAAAGACTTTCGAGGTAGCCAGCAGTTCAACTAATTCTCTTCCTGACACGGTCACAACAGAAGAAATGCTCTCATCAACTTCTTATACTAAGCAGTTTCATGAGGGGAACATGGATGGCGAGGTGGAACTAATCCGTTACGTGCTTCGGAAGAGGCTCTCAGCTCCCGAAATATTACCCGAGAAAGAAAGCGAAGGTTCTGCACCTTTGGCTGCATCGGAGGATCGTGGAATTCTTGAGTCTCAGGAGCAGTTTAACGTGATGGAAAGTCCTCGGAAAGTTAAGGAGTCTTCGCTGCCAAACAGAACACAGGGCGAAGACGAATCTGAGATGGAACCTTATACAGATATTCCCTATGAAGAGAAGCTTATTCCGGATTCTCTGGGAGAGGCACAACCTCAAGTTGCCGATTCGGTGGAGAAGGAAGAAGGTGCTGATGAAACATTACCTGTGCTAATGCTGTTAACGCCTGAGACGGCAGGAGAAGAAAAGAAAAGTACAAAAGCGAAGAAAGGTGGGCTTTCATCGCCACAATGCAAGTGTTGCTCAGTGATGTAGATTTGACGAACGATAGATGCAGCTAATAGCAAAAGCCTCTTGTAACTTAAAGAGCTTATCAAAGCCTACGTCAAGGAATGCTAACTGTGTGAAAAATGCGTCTTTAGTTAGATGCATGTCATTGATAAAAGAACACGGTCGTATTAACTACCCTTAGCGAGTAGTGAAAATAATGAATTTATACTTTTATCAGCTAGTTTGGTGCTGTGACGCACAATTGACGCTTTGTCTTCTTTATGTGTTTGGCATAGTTCCGTTCTTGAACTAGAAATGTACTAAGTGCTTTATACGATATTCTTTAGACTGTAGAGGAGACATGCACAGTTATAAAACAACAAATATCGTTGTTTTAGATTCGTATATCAAGGCGACTGAGTCGAGACACCTCAACCAAATTCGATGTATTTTTTTCCTTTCTTCTCTAATTCATTTCCGGTTAACCAAGGTTCAATAGCGACTTTGCAGCCTCTATCGTTTAAGATTTAAGACGGAAAACAGCGGCTTTGAAAATATTTGGTGCGCTGAACTCGGAAATTTCTCTTGCGTTCCTTATTTTCTCCTTATAGGGGCGAGGAAACGTCACGTTTCTCTGCCAAAAGACTTCAGTCTTGAGGTTGCTTTTTTTTCATAGTTTCTTTAAACGAGCGGTATTTTTTTTAACCTGTTTTGCCCTTGGAAGAAGAATTAGTTTTATTTGTTCCTAGACGTGTAAACGGGTGAGCTTTTATTACTTGCAAGTGAACTCTAAGAATAAGAGAATAAGATTGGTTTTTTTATTAAATAAAGATTTCTCAATTAAGCACACTTCTATCTTTTTCCTTCCAACACAAACTTGAAGAGCCTGACAAAGAAAAACCGAAGGCTCATGTAACCAATGAGCTAAAGAACAAACAAATGAAGGGTTATTGTCAAAATGCAAAGCAAGTACAAACCTATATCGAAATATGTCATCATTGTCGTTGTGCAGGTAAACTGAGAAAGTTTATGGAACTTCTTTCAAAGATGTAAATGATTGTCTGACTTTGGAAATTAATCTCTTTTTTAACTTTTTAAGCTTTACTTCTTGTTTTCACCAGCTCCCTCTGTGCCTCGATCTTGCGCAGCTGTATTTAAAGCCTATAAGATGAGTGTGGAATCTAACTGTTGATGGAATGACTGAGACATAACGCACATACTTATAAAAAAAAATAGCCTCCATTTGGCACGAAAATATGCTTTGATATTTGTCCGCAGACACTACCGGTTCCAAGATGCCAACGATTTTCCGAGTGTGAAGCTGATGGCTGACGGCGTGTGCGTTGTAAGAAAAGGAGTGGTACAAAAAACACGTTTTAACTTCTAAATGGTAGAACAGTTCCCTTCACACCTTTCTTATCTCGACAGATCACAACAACGAGGTCCTCACGGAGGACATAACCATTGCAATGGGCAGACGAGCTCACAACTCTTCGTTAATGACATTCTTACTGAGCTTAAATGTTTGGATAATTCCATTCCATTATTTTGCTGCACCCTTATTCCATGACATAATTGGCTAAAGGCACAATACCCTGACACTCTGATTGGTGCAAGCATACCCCAATACCCTGATCTGATTGGAGCGAAATGCATGTCAAAGATACCCTATCGCTGTGATCCGTTTGATGAGAGATACATACGCTATTGCTGTGATCTGATCGGTGCGAGATACCTGCCCTGATGCTGTGATCTGACTAGTGCGAGATACCTACCCGTAATGCTGTGATCTGGTTGGTTCGAAATACATACCCTAATGCTGTGATCTGGTTAGCGCACGACCTAGCAGTTTCGCAAGTTTGCTATGATCAAAGCACATTTAATTGAACGAAAATTTGGCACTTTGTTTGAAATATAGCTTCTTCGAATCGTTTCCAGAGTACGAGTGATTTAGAATGTAAAGTTAAGATTTAGTAATGATCGATTGAACGTCGTATTTTGCGAAAACAAAGAAAGTCATATTTCTACGAGAAACCATACAGATGACTGTCATTAAGTAGATAACATTGAATAAAAAAATATGTTTGTCTCCGAGGAGCATTGAAAAAGAGTTTGCACTTAAAAAAACAGATAAATTCGCGATAGAGAGAAAACTGTAAAACAAAAGTTTTGTAAGGGGGTCTAAATCAGTGACAGGGGTCCATAACCACCCAGGGATTTCGGGGGTCCATATCCGACAGGGAGTTTGAGCCGAGGGGTTTATGTACGCGGGGGGATTTGGACCGGAGTATTAATTCCGCACAACCTCATACTTCATGATGAATTCAGTTCTTGGATAAAGAAAACAATGCCGAAAACAATCAATTAGCTTTGGGATGGGGTGCTACTTACATCTTTCCCTGGCAAAGAAACGAATAAATTATATTTGCAAAAGTTCACCTTTAACTTCCAAGATGGTGGAAGGTGATCACGATTTCCTTGAAGTGGCACGTTCATTTCGTTTCGTCGCAAGTATTAACACTCTTTTCCGACAAATTAGTGGCAAATGCAGCAATATATACTTTGTCCACCGCTTCCTGGGGAATGTGTAGTTCTTTAAAACACCGTTATGGCAAACCTTATGACATAGAAATGCAAGAAACCGGATGTTTTTCGTAACGTAGTAGTGCCCAGGTCATGCTTTAGTTCAACAAAAGTCCACCATTTGATTATCAGGTAAAAATTCTCGAGGCGACCAGTGGTGGTATATAATGAAGGTATCAAGGTTATGTCCCTATTTCATTATGATTTCCAGTGAATTTTAGAGGGGTCGAGAAGGGAAGTCAGTATGGACATTTGGAGTTTGTGTTTTGTCAAAGCCTTTTTGTCATTACCCTGATGACAACAATGGAAAGATATTAACCGCTGGCCGTAAATTGCCAAAATTTAACCGTATGATCCTCCTATAATGGTAGCATGCACCAAATGGAAACCAAGTATGGAAAAGCATTTTTACTTGAAAAGGCGCAAAACAAATGGACAGTGGCGAAAAACTTCTCAACCATGACAGGCCATAATTATTGCACTAAAGCCATCCGATTCTCTCTCGTTTATTCATAAGAAAAAGAGAGCAAGGAACATCGTCAAATTTGGGCTCCATCTTCAAATTGAGAGGTGTTGTCCACTCTCTCATGACCGTGAGACAAAGAAGAATCTGGGCCCTCTGTCGAACCCGGACGATAACACCCTTTAATTAATTCAAAATTGAAGAGATTCAAATCGAATATTGCGAGGGGGGAGGGGGTTGAGAAAAGGTCCACTGAGACTCTAAGGGCCCGAGAGTTGTAATGAGAAGATTGCTCCCTCACCTATTCTGTACCATCCCCTTTCCTAACGCAGAGCAAAAGTTAACAACTTTTTACAACATTTTAATATATTTACACTTAATGTCAAAGCACGAATGCTTAGAAAATACATTCATTTATTTATAGAAGGTAAGCATACCTTCTCTACAATAAAATTCAATATCATCTCAATTGCATGCAAAAATTTCAATGAAAAAAATAAATGTCTTATATCGTCACACTTCTTTCACTTTGCAAATATGTTGCTTTGATAGTTCTCCTGCTAAACTTTAAACACTGCAGAGAAGGATCGAAACGATATTAGGTGATCCGTGTGCTGAGAGTTTCCGCATGGTGAGGTCAACTTTAGCGGTAATACTGACGCGGTCGAAGTGTTGATCTCTCCTTGTTTCAAAACGTTCCACCATCCTGGAGTCATTCACCCTGTAATGAGAGGAAAGAAACACTTTCATTAAATTTAATTTCACTAAATTACCCATTGATAGATGGCAGGGGAAAGGTTAGCGAAAGTTTAGAAATACCTCAAAAGTAAGGCGTTGTAATTATCCCGTTATTATGGCGTTTGTGTTAGGGTGCCTCAGGATCCCATACCCATATTTTGAAAGTTTATACATTCACCAAATTTTTAAGTTTGCTCGTTTCTACTTAACTTGGTGGTAGAACCGCCAAGGAATATCCTCGAGACAAAAATTGTTGGGCCAAAAGCGTCTCTATCTTGTTACCACCAACCCCCTTTCAACATTCAGACTTCTTCATGCGCTCAACTTTTTGAGTTAACAGCGATAAAAATTGAAGTAAAAGGTAGATTCTGAAACAGTTGTAGCTTTACCTAAAACTATGTTATAATATACTGGCAAAAAGGAATATAACTGACCATATATTCATAGTGTCTCCTTGACTACTGGCTGCCACATCACTTTCATCATCCAAAAACATTATCTGATGTAAAGCAGCTTTTTCTCTCCTGGTCACCATCTGATTCTCTTGATGTCCAATTCTCACGTAGAGCTCTTTCTCTGGATAAGAACCACACTCTTTTTGCTTCTTCAGTTCTCCTTTTTCTTTTAGTTCAGTCAATTGGTCATCCTTTTCGCAAGCCATTAATAGTATGGCAGTCAAAGTGCAGTTCTCTCTTCTTAACCTTGTTATATGATCTTCAAATGTTCTTGTGATCCTTGAGTTTTCAAATTTTAACTCATACAACTGGTTTTCTTCGTCTGATGCCTTTGATAGTGCCGAGGATAGTTTGGATTTTTCTTTTTTTAACTTTTCAATTTCATCTTTGAGATCCATTGAAGTCTTTGAGGTGTCACATTTTATCTCATGGTACTGGTTCTCTAACAAAACTGCTTGCTCTTCATTCAACACCAGGGATCCATTAGGTAACTCTACTTTCTCGCGTGAACGTCCGCATCCACCGCGACTATGTTCCATCATATATTCCCTGTTCATTTCCTGTATCGTTATCTTCAGCTCATCAACCTCAAACATCAGATCTTCGTTTCTTTCTTGACTGTTTTTTAAACATTCCTCCAGATAATCAACATCATCAAAGAACTCTTCTCTTTCTGCTTTCAGCACGTCCACTTGGTAATCTAACAGAACCATTCGCTGTTCATTGAACTCTAAGGATCCATTTAGTAACTCTACTTCCTCGCGTAGATGCCCGCATCCACCGCGACCGTGTTCCATCATGTACTCCCTTTTCATTTCCTGTATCGATATCTTCAGCTCATCAACCTCAAACACCAGATCTTCATTTCTTTCTTGACTGTTTTTCAAACATTCCTCCAAGTAATCAACATCATCCAAGAACTCTTCTCTTTCGGCTTTAAACGCTTCCACTTGACTCTCTAACAGAGCTATTCGCTGTTCATTAAACTCCTGGGATCCATTTAGTAGCTCTACTTCCTCGCGTAGATGTCCGCGTCCATCGCGACCGTGTTCCATCCCTTCCTCCCTGTTCATTTCCTGTATCGTTATCTTCAGCTCATCAACCTCAAACATCAGATCTTCATTCCTTTCTTGACTGTTCTTTAAGCTTTCCTCCAAGTAATCAATATCATCCAATAGCTCTCTTCTTTCCACCATAACCTTTTCCACGAATGCATTTCCTTCTTCCCATTTTCGCTCCTTTCTCTTGAAATCACGTTTTAAATTTGCCAGCTCTCTTTCTTTGTATTCTTCCTTAAGCTGCATTCGCTTTATCTCAACTTGGCTCTCTTCCAGGTCAGCCTGCAAAGTTTTTATCATCTTTCGGTACGTTTCAAGTTTCTCAGTTGTGACGCGTGGTTCTTTCTCATCTTTGCAGACCTGTTTATTTAAGCAAAAGAGGCGTTGTTTTTGTTGCAGCTGTTGAATTTGTGGATGATAGTTAGTCATCCTTTTGTAACTATGATAGTTAAAACTGGAAGAAATGAAGTCATGATATAAATGAGTGATAACCGCAATTAGGATACGTGATTCCGTTCACGACTTAGTCGCTTTTCTTCTAAGACACGTGAAAACCGATTTCGGAATCACATAAAAATGGCAAACGACAGCCAAACACGACATTAAGTCTCAGGTCCTCCAGGAGAGACAGTTGTCATTGTGAGATACTTTACTAACGACATTTGTTTATAAAACATTTGTCTCGCAATCTGGCCTCAAGTGATAGATGTTATGCAAATTTACCTGTTTTAGCTGCGCTTTGTTATCAGACTCGTTCTCTGACAAAGATCTTCTCTTATTCTCTCTGCTCAGGCGAGTCATTCTGACTGGTATTCTTGATTTCTGATGCAGAGAAGGAGTATGATTTTGGTTTCTTTTCTTTACGGGGTGAAGCGACGAAGCCATCGTGTCTCACTCGTGGTTTACTCTCGCTCGATGAAAATCCTTACTCAAATAAAGTTTGTTTTGTTTGTTTGCTTTTGTTTTCGTTTTGGTATTTGCTCTGTTTGAAGTAGTTTTTCTCTCAAATTAGACTTTGAAATAATCTAAATTTCCAAAGCTCCGAATTTCGATACTAATCGCATCGATAGCTGAAGCAAATGATTTTGTTTTGAGCGAAAATCCATGGAAACCATCTCTTACGAGTTTTTCGTCATACAGAGCGAGGAAACCTTCGATAGCTCGTGCACGGTAAGCTTAACAGGAATTTGATGATAAATCTAATTCTGAAATACTACAACGTTGTCCAAACTCTAGAACTGTGAGAATTTTGAAAGCTTTTCCCTTCGAAAACTAGCTAACACAAAAATATGATGCCAAATGAAAAATTTACTTGCAAAATGCTTTCCACATCCCAAAGATGCCAAGCAAGTATGCAGGCGAAAAAAAAATGATCCTTTGTGATAACTAAACAGAGCTCCCTAACTTCTTCGACACAAAAAGAGTCATTGATATACGGCTTATAATCTAATTGTGCCTTGACAGTCTTACTCAGGAACGTGTAGATTCATTGAAGTGAGCAGAAAAGTCCTCTCCTTTCATTCATCCAAAGAAAACGAGTTTGATGCTTCCAGTAACTTTGGATGGTGATAACTACGTTAGTAAAGATGATTTGGTGAAGACAGAGATGTTGGAGTTCTTCTCTTGTTAGCATATTTCAAGTGAAAAAGGTGTTGAGCTGCAGTCAAAATTCCACATAACTTTGCGAGGCCTGTAACCAGAAGTAAGCTGTAAAAATTTCTACTTTTAGTGATTTTCGCAGATTTCAATCTTCCATTCGTGTCGGCTCAGTTTGTGTCGATCTTAATTGTCTTGAATGGTAGTGCCTTAACTTACACACTTCCTTCTTTTAAACTGTTGGCAGCAGTGGAAATGAATCGCTGAAATAATGAAATTAACATTCGCACTGATTTACTCAGAGTTCAGTCTCTTTCACATCACGATTGCGAATTTGAACCCAGTCGAATGTTCAGGTGCTCTCTTAGCCAATCAGAGAAGAGAAAAAGGCAAGGTATTTGATAAATCAAGAGAGGTTGACCTTAGTGTTGATTGACAGTTAAGAAAGTATTAGGAAGAACAGCAAATCCCTGAATGCTGAATTTCAATGCTGCCCTAAATTAAAGTGACCTAAGAAATAACAAATACATCAACAACAAATTTCTGTATTCTGGCAAAACTTTATTGACTTCTACAATGAAAAATACAAAAACGCTAGTTATTTACAAGGAATCATGAGCAAAACCGCTATTTACAAGGAACCATGAGCAGATCAACATGTAAACTTTGTTGGCAGATGTTGTGGTCTGATATTTCCTTTTCTTCACTTGCTTATTTTCATCTTCTACTCGTCTTTTGTGTGCTGATGTACAACACTGAAAAGGAACAGATCCATCATTCAGTAACATAGCTCACTCAACCCTTCACACCCCAACATCAGTATGCATATTCTCCATACTGTTCTCTGTGCATTTACTAATGCGCTAACAAGGACAGTTTGCTTAACAATCAAAAGCTTCTTTAGTTGGTGATCATTTTCTATATTCTCCTGACCTAAATGTTTGATTCAGGGGTGATATTGTAAGGAGAAATGAGATCCTAGTCACTTGCAGGAGTTTAAAATGATTAAATTGTGGGGGTGTGAAGTTGACTCTTGCAGAACTATGAATGAAGAATTTCTATGCAAACCCTGGCTTCTGAAAGGATAGTAGATGAACGCAAATAAAATCAGATGGATGCAAAGAGCAAAACACAAAGTAGTGATGAACTAAAATTTACAATTTTATGACAGAGAATGGAATTTAACATAAAATCATGGCTGGTTTATTAATTTCTATTTCTTTTTTTTCCTTTTAAAATAGGAATGAGGGTTTATTTCATTATCCTTCTTTTATGATTTTTATTTTCAAGAACAAGGAGTGTCCCTTCAACAGACTTAGATCTTAACAGCTACATACCGTTGTTTCCTCTCAAAAAAGCATCACCATATTTGTTTTTCAGCTGAAAAATAAATGAGATTAATTAGATTGTAGTGTTGCATAAATTAATTACTAGTTGAAATTAAGCCATGGATTCTATAAAATATCCATACCCACAATGTTTGTCTACCAACTTACTTATAGAAATTCCTGAATGCCTAAAATTCCATTTGTGCTTTTTTTTAACTCTTCCCCGTCCCTTTGGGAAATCCAGTTGAAGAAAAAAATGCTTCAGTAAGCCGAAGGCTACAAACTTATTATAGACTGTAATGTTTTGAAAGTTCTAGTGTACTGAGATGGTTCACTTTCATTTGATCAAGTTAACCCTTTACACCCCAACATCAGTATGCATATTCTCCATAAGTTCTCTATACATTTCCCAAAGTACTAACAAGGAGAATTTGTTTAACAATCCAGAGCTTCTTTAGTTGCTGATGATTTCCTTTATTCTCATGACCTAAATGTGTGATTCAAGAGCGATACTGTACAGAGAAATTAGATGCTGGTCACTCTTAGGGGTTAAAAGGTCAATCACTACCTTTTACCCTTTTTCCTAACTCCACACTGTCAAAAAACATCCATAAATCATTCCACAAGAAGAGCACAATGCCAGCCATATTGAAGGCTTCAAGGTAAGTGAAGGAAATGAGTCTAAAGGCAAAACTTAATTTTGTGGACAAGGAGGAGAGAAGTGCAAACATGAGAGCATTGATTAATATAAAATAGGTACAAGAAATTTGGCTCACCTGTCCATTTGCATACTCCTCTGTTTGTTCTAAGGCAATGTTCATGTAACCATCAAGGCAGGCTAGTACTCCTGAAAGAAATCACAACCAATAGTATTTACATGTCTACCCAAAGACATAAAAAAAATTAAATTGACATGGTATGCCATTATAATAATAATAATAATAATAATAATAATTTATTAATTTATAGTGTGCTTTTTAACATACCTAGTGATCAAAAGTGCACAATAGGAGACACAACATCACAAGTTAAACAAAAGCATTCACAAGGTGCATATGGTTACTGCTGGTAATGGGTGAATACACTAGGTAACCTTTTACATGTATTTTTGTATGTTTCATGGGTCAGCTATCATCTCCTTTGCTAATGAATAGCACCTTAATTGTCAATAACAGACATAAGTGAGCATACTTTTGTAAGGATAGCAAGGAGTTTGCAATAACCTTAACGGTGTCACCTTAATGAAGGAAAGTGTCTGACATTTGCAAACTCTATAGTTAACTAACTATATAGAGGTGTTGTGGGAAAATAAAATGTAAAAATCATAATGGAATTAACCTCAATTGAGGAACCTTGAAATTGTTTTTTTTTTCCTTTTAATGTAATTGACAGGGAAATATCACTTATTTTTGTGTTTAAATGGTAAAACTAGTCTCTTGCAGCTGTTGTTTGGTCTTGCAATAATAATAATAATAATAACAGTTTATTAAACTCTATTGCAGTAACTTGCTGAATTAACAAGTTATAATACAACTTAATAAGATCAACAATGTACATTTCTGCATATATTAAGTACAAATTATATACACCACAACAGAACATGTATCACATTTGTTAAAAATACTTAAAAGTGAAAAAGTCTTTGGTGCACTTTGTTCTACAGGTAGTAACGTTTCTGTAAAAGTACAGCTGGTCTGATTTGTGCCCTAGGGTGTAGGGACAGGTATCATCTAGGTGTGTTGGTAGAAGAGGATGAAGAGGGTGGTTTAAGTCCTTCATTTTGCACATATACTCTTTACATATCTTATCTCTTCTGAATGCAAGGGTCTCCACCCATGCTAACTCAAGGGCATCTGAGTAGCTATCAGCACATGGGAAAATTATCTTAAGTGCCCTTTTCTGTATGGATTCAATTTTGTCAGACAGATAACCTGGAATGGATTGCCACACAGGCACGGTGTACTCTAGAACAGATCTAACAAAGCTTGTGTGGACCTTTAACAAGCTACCTTGATCCGCACTGGCTCGACATGGAATATGTCGGGAGTAGAACTTCTTGCAAGCTTCTTTATATATGTATTCTACATGACTATTCCACCAAAGGTGCTATTGATAAATACTCTTGTTGGTTGATACATGTTCTATACTGTTGTTACCAGCAACTAATGGTCTGAGAGTAAAGTCAGGATAAAACATAAAGTTAATTAACATCTCTTAATAGGGTTTAGTTGCATGTTGTGATCCATAGAAAATCTGTGAATGTCAGATACAATCGAATTGAGCAGACTGATACAGTTCCTGGGTAGTATCTCTATGGCAGACTTGTCATCCAGAAACTCGACTCTCAGTGGCCAATCAGCTAAAAGATTGTTTGTCATTATTATGAAAAGTATCACTCCTAGTTTAATTCCCTGAGGCACACCTCCCTTGAGGAATTTCCAATCTGATAGTGTTGCACTTGTTCTTACAGCCTGCTGTCTGTCTGTTAGGAACGCAGCAATCCAAATGATGAGCATGGGATCAACCGCTAGTTTTCACAACTCAGTCATTAAGATGACTGAGTTGTCATGCAACATACTCTTTCCCTCTATAGAGGGAGATAAGGAGAGAGTGTATTGTGTGATGAACCAATCAATAGTTGCAGAGAAAACTAGTATAAAAGTCCTTTAAAAGAACACCAAAATATGTCAACTAATTTTTGGTCTCACTTTGTGAGTTTATAATAACTTTCTGAAAAGTTGCCAAAGGACACAAAATGCCCTTTACTTACTTAGAGCATGATAAAATGTGTTAACTAGTTTCACCAGTAACCACAAAATGTATATGAATATAAAATGACAGAGATGAAAAAATGTTCCAGCATGTCACAAACTTTCCTGAACACACACATGAAGCCATGGCAACGCTATGCTAAACTGGTGGAGTTTGGGAAAAATTGAAAAGCAGTGCGATTTTCTGCTCAGATTACCACATATCAATGCTAAACAGAGTCTGTGTGAGTGTTTAAGGTTGGGTTTTTTTCCCTTGAAAAGCAACATTTCATAAATACAGCACTCAAACTTTCCATGGCATTTCTTTAAGATCTGAAATTGTTAATCACGGAATAAAATTATTATAACAAAAAGATTAAAATTTTGTCTCCATTGTGATACTAAAATACGAAAACTATTCAAATTAACAAGCACATACAAATAGTTGACCTTAATGACAGAACAAACTGCAGCTCGTCTTATTTTAATTTTTTTTTTTTATTTTTTTTTTATCTTTGTTTTGTTTGTTTTTAATTGGTCGGAGGGTTTAATTCATGCTGGAATGAAATGAAACGAAACGGGCCAGACTTAAATGCAACAGCGAAAAAGGTGAGCCGTAAGTAACAGAAAGACCTGAAAAGGATTAACCCTCTTCATCATAAAATATCATCAAAAGGTTGACGTTTTCTCAATTTGAACGTTGTTATTTTAGAGAAGCACGTGGTAAAATTATGATGCAGTAAGTGTTACGAATCTCGTTTACCTCGGTAATCGACGCCATTATTGAGCTTCACCACCACAGGACGGCCGATAATTTGCTTCAGAAAGTCACTTGGAGTTTGTTTGCGACTCATTATTTTGATTTGCTTGAGCCAAAACACGAAGTAGAGTGCTCTGTAACCAACGTCACCGATTACTTCGTAATTTCCAAGATGGCGGATGCAGGGAACTCGACCCAGTATTTCTCGCTTGGCTATTTAGCTTGGAAAATTATAATGGTGGCTTCACCGAAATGAAATCAAGGATGGGAGAATATTTTTAATATAATTCTAGTCTCAGCTCTCATGTTAAGTCATGTTTTTTTTTCTGTGGCTTAAACCGGCTGGTTTCATTTCCTATACCCTTACATTTCCAAGCATGACAGGAATCTAATAAATCTAATAAAGTGGGTCAAAGTGCGGCGGCATAGACTGTGACTAAGTGACTAAGTGACTTAGTACAGATGTGAATGGTGCCACGCTTATTGCAGTTTTCTTCGCAGCCGATGTTTGGTCATTGCGTGAGCGGGAGCAAAGTAAAAAAAAAATCGCAAATGAAAAGCCACATTGTCCAAAGAACTAAATTACGAGAATCCTTTATTTTGCAGCGGATTTCTTGGCGAGACCACAGAGTGATTACCTGCAGCTTTAACTGATAGGATATAACCAAGAAAACTTGGAGCATTTTACCCCTGATGAATCATTGCAGTTTAAGATAATGTTAATATATTACTCGTACATGTGCATAATAATCAGTTCTCATAAAAGAAAAAGAAAAACGTAAAAGGAAGGTGAGAAGGAAAATCTTCAAAAATTTTAACAGGAAACGATAAGCAGTGGAGGAAGAAATGATAAACATATTCAAATTTTTTTTACCCTCTATTTCATTCGTTAGCCAAAAAGAAAAAAAAAACGCCCAGGGATTTTTTGTCACAAATTACTATTTACCAAAAGGGTAACGATGAGTTATTAATCTACACTATTTTTAAAAATAAATTCAAGGAAGTTTTCGTCATAAATGAATTCTCAGGTTCCTCAACCGCCGAATTCAGCGCGCCATTAAACTTCTCTCGTCTGCGCTCCACCGAGCGAATTGAGAACAACTGGCTGAATATTATTTGCTTTAAAACACCTATCTTTATGAACACAGATATATTTTTCTTTTTACCAATAGGTTAATTTCCTTAATTAGACTTTAACTAATTTTTCCTGCATATTCTGAGTCTTAATCAAACAAGCGACGACACCTCTTCCCATAAATTGGACTAAAACGAATTTTACGGTGACATTGTTTGCATTACTCACAGATTAACCGCATGCGTTCCTCTAACATTTGTTATATTAGATTGAACACCATTGACAATTTGACGTATGCTGCCAAAACGTAACTGAAACTCCTCAGTTTATTGATTATTGCTTCTTGCGTACACAGGATCACTTTTTCTACGTCATTGGCTTGTCGGGATTTTCCAATTTTCCATGCTAATTTGCCATTTAACCACTTACGTGATCATTGTGAAATGAATTGCAAATTCATGCGTAAGAAAGTTGTACAGATTGTCGATGCTGGAGGGGAAAAAATCGTTCGCGATATCCTAATCTGAAAGGGAACTGAAGTACAACGAGAAATGCTTTCGTTTTGATTAGCATCGAACAAACATTGGCTAATATGCTTTTGGCAGCAATTTCTTTCTTGTTCTTGGTAAAATTTGGGCCTACCACATGTTCAACTCACCAAGATAGCTACTTTCGTGGGTTCGTAGAAGACACGATTCTCAATACAGACTGGATGACCTGTCTCCAAGCTTGCCATAACAAAGCAAGCTGTATCTCGTATAACTACGGTGGAAAAATGAAAACTTGTGAGATGATCTCCGACGGAGTTACGAATCAGTGTGACAGTGGAAAGGTGATTTACTCAAGAGGATGGGTTTTTCATCAGATAAGGGTAAGAACTATGTAAATGGGTGGTCAGGAGTTTTTTCCTCTCCTCAAAGCTTGTTGCAAAATGACACTCTCTGATGAAGATTGTATTACAAAGAGCAAGAAATTAAGGTGCAGATTTTTTAACAGTTTATTTCGTTAATGCCTTAAAAACAACTGAGACAGAGCTCGAACTTGCTGAGAAAGTTTTGCAAATTTTCAATCAAGAGTTATAATGTTATAATATTTTCAATAAACTTGCCGACTCTGGCACTGTAGCAAAAGTTAAATTATCGTCACTGGCGCAAGTCTCGTCATTGCACATAATGCTATTTATAACATGCTTCAGGCTTAAATTGGATGCCATTTTATGTTTTAAGAAAATGGGAGAGGTAAATTGAAAAGTGGTATGGTATTTACAAAATATCATTTACGAATGTTTCCACTATATACTGGCTTGCACGGTTGCGAAAATACGGGGTAAAAGGTCAATTTCGTTGCTTTATCACAAAGGATAAAAATTATTCCAGCGGGAATTGTGGCTGTTTTTCTTTCTTAGGAACATTAAAAAGATAGATATTGTTGCATTATGATGTAGTTTTGTGGAAGCCAAGGTAAAGAGGAAGCTAATACTTATAGCAACTAGAAATGAGAAAAAAGTTATGCATTTTTGTGTTTCCCACAATTAAATGGAAAATACGTTTTGCTTGCTTGCGCGCTGGGATTGAAACACGTTTTCATACCAGAAGCTACACAGCATATTGACAACAAATGACTGAGTTAAAAAAAAAAAAAGCATAAAAAAGCATTTATTTATTTCTGGTACCAATATTAAAAAGCAAAAAGCACTCTTAACAAAACTAAATGATTCATAAATTGTTTTAAAATATTTTATATTGCGATATCAGCGATACAAGAATTATTGTAACATAGTACAATATTATTTCCGATAGAGACAGATTTCAATCGCTGAAGATGAGCCCTTTGGAAGCTATTGTTTGAAGAACCTCAAATATATAATTTTTCATTAGCCTTTATTTTTTTTTACCACTGACTTCATATGCTTCAATTTAGAAACGAAAGAAACTGTAGTCAGCTTAATAAGCTTGATAAGACTTGTTTTTAATTTGCCAGGTCTTATTTAACAAAACCCGTGGCAACTGGTATATATTGTGTTGACTTTGCCAGCGGCTGAGGAAAAGAAAAGCAAATATTTAGATTTTAAGGAAGCTTTTGAAATTGAAATATTTATTCAAGAGCAACGAATCTATTCACAAATCGTCGTGGAAACAAAGTTAAAAGACGGGAAGAACACCAACAGAAAAAAATTGATTAGAAATGAATTATTGGTGGCTATTTTTTGAAATTTTTAGATAAACAGCTATAACAGAGATTCATAGTGGATGCATGTTAAGAACCTAAGAACCGCAGGTGTTTTTCAAAATCGGATTTACCAATTCAGAGACAATCGAGTTTCGCATTCATGACATCAGCGACCAAAATTGGAAATTGGCTTGTGTGGATTCAATACGAATCATACTGTTAAAAATAGTATATCATTGTTGAATAAAGATGTTAAAAAAATTTACATCAATTAAGGCTCAATTTTGACGTCTTTCCTCACATGAGCCGAAGAGAATCTTAAAAGTAGGCCGGTTGAATTGATTTCGACGTGCTATTTTTTTCCAATTAAGCGGAATTGATTCGGGCGACTTGCCTCTCATGGACTTGGTTCCTGATTTATTCGATTCGAAATGTAAGTTTACATCACCCGTGCTGAATCTGCGAGGGGTAAAATTTAAAAGTACAAATATACGCCATTTCATTGTTAGTTAAAGTGAAGTTTCTAATCCAGAAAGTCGTTAGACAACACCACAACTCTGTTATCAACAGTTTACAGGCTTATTTGGTTGTGCTGAAGTAATCATGGCCTGCTAGAATAAAACCAAAACGAAAAAAAAGGTATTCGTATTCCATAATTATTGATAATTAAAATAGTTGGTGTGTAACTCATTCTATTTCCTTGTTTTTTTTTTATTTTTAGCCACTTCCTCAAAAACAAGTCATTGCAGGTAATATCGAAAATCTTTTTTTTTTCTAACAATTCCTTTTAGGAAAGAAACTGTAAATATTCCCTTGCGTTTACTGCGTAAGTTGGTGCACAAGTGCTTTTAGTTCATATTTTATATTAAAACGACATCCACTTTCTATGTGTTTGCTTCTTGTCACTCAATTTCTTGGTTTATTTACCAGCAAACTCCGTAAATTATTTTATTTTCACGTTTTCTCTCGTGGCCTTCGATGAATGTGCTTGGAAGAAATAAAAAGTTGAAATCGTGGAACGCTAAAAAAGCCAAAACAATCACACACTTTTTGGAAACAAAGTAAATTTGAGAATAAATTTGAAAAGAAGCTATAAGGGTTTTTTTTAACTTCCATCTGTCTTTTTTTTATTCTGTTATTATTTTTCATCGAAGAATTAGGAGATAGTCCGAGTAATCCTGCCGAGTCATGCTTGGATATTCTCGATCGCAGGTGAGTAATCGTGGGTAGTGGTGGCTTTTGTGTGTGTGTGTTTGGGATGTTCCTAAATTTCTTGCCTTCTCTTTTGTAGCAACTGTAACTAAATCTCTAGCTGCTCGAGGAGACTAGTACTGTAGACCGCAAAATAACGGAAAGTGTCAGTTGTTAAGACTGACAAATGACTGACAAATCCAGTTTCTGGCTTAATAACCTTGTTTCTTCATTAGGTATTAGTCATTATCTATCAACCGGAAGAGGGAGGGGGTTGGTGAATTTTGGGGGGATCACACGGGGGAACGGAGGTGGGACCAGCCGTTACCGACAGAGTATAACGGGGGAACTATAGTGCGGAGGGTTATAAGAATATCACCAAGCCTTATGGGGGAATCAGGTGAATTTTATCGTGACACAACCAAAATCATCCAAACCCACACCCAAGGCGATAAATAATGACCGGCCCCTGACCGGGAGTAAGGTTACATGCACCTCCAAAGAGCACCCAACTAGATGCATTGTATTACAATAACAAAATCATCCAAACTTCTCCCCCCTCCCCCCCCCCGTGATAAATTATGACCGGTCCCATTGGGAGTAAGGTTACACGCACCTCTAAAGACTACCCACCAAGATGCATTATATTACAATAACAAAATCATTCAAACCTATCCCCCCCCGCCCCGTGATAAATAATGACCCGCCCCTTGGGGAGTAAGGTTACACGCACCTCCAAAGAGTACCCACCAAGATGCATTGTATTACAATAACAAAATCATCCTAACCTACCCCCGAGGTGATAAATAATGACCGGCCCCTTGGGGGGTAAGGTTACACGCATCTCCAATGAGTGCCCACTAAGATGCATAATATTATCATAACTTGTTTAAAGTTCAACTCTCTTAGAGGTCACCAGTTTGTATGAGTAAACATTCGACCCTTTTTTATTTTCTTTATTTCGCCATATTTTCTTTTCTTTTCACAGATCTTCCAATGGATCTGTTAAAAACGGTGCCTACTATATCAGAATAGGACAAAAAACAAGTTTGATCTATTGTTTAATGGAAAATACCCTGGGGTGTAAAAATGGAGGCTGGACATTAGCTATGAAAATAAACGGAAACAAGGTAAGTTTGGCAGCGATTTATGATGCTGAAACGAATTCATAAATCCTCTTCTCATTGTGGATTACATGCACCTTCCTACTTTTGCAAAAAAAAACCCGACTTTGCGCCTCTTCCTCCAAGAGCAAACAGTAGCAAACAGTAGCAGCATACCTCATAGTGCCTGATTGTTCGATACTGTGCTTGGGGCGCTTTTCGATTCATCACCAATTCCGAAGAATGAGCCAGTGATAATCACAACAGCAAACTGGTTGAAGCTCGGGGAAAAGCATGATTGGTCTTCGTTTTGGATCTGATTGGTGAAGAGACTGCCAAGAGTTTTTCTTGACCAATAATAGATCATACAGGAATAAAACCAATGTAATTCTGGATTACTTACAATAAAAAAAACAGTTGAAATTTGCTCTAGGATAGTGATCATGCACGATTTACGATATTGAAGTGTAGATGTCTGACTGTGCTAACGGTCTAACTTTGACCGACCGACGATCTGATTGACTAACTTACCCAATCGCTAACAGACTGACAGACGGATGGACGACTGAGAGTCGAACTTAGTGTCAAGTTGTCTGACTGAGTGACTGACAAGTGCCCAACCGAAAAACTAACAGTCTCACAGGGAGAAGTGCGGCTGAGTGGCTAAAATGCTTACTGACCTAATGACTGACTGACTCAAGCTTAGGTCAGTAGAGTGGAAAAAAAGATATTTAATTGGTAAGATCAACACTCCCAGGTGCATTAGTATTTAAAAGTAGTAACTTTACCTTTAAACCTGATTTGAATGAAAGATAGTCGTATTATTTTGTTGACGAAGTAGCTATAATGTTTATCTGTGAATTTATCATAGGGAACATTCTCATATTCCTCTGACTTGTGGACAAATACGGAAGCTTACAATCCAGAAGAAGCTAAAAATCTCGATGAGAAGGTACAAATATAACATATATATATATATATATATATATATATATAAATAAAATTTGGTTTTCGAGTCATAAACCTTTCTTTAAAAAAAATTGATAAGACGATTCCTTAACACTGAACTCCTGATCCAAAGAATAGTTTTACTGTTGCCTTACTTGGTGAGGACGCTGCACATCATGTTTTTAAATGAAATTTTGATTAATTGAAGTAAAAAGATCAGCTTCCCCTGGTTGTCGAATTGATTAACATGGGTTCGCTTTTTCTCCGTCGCTCGACTTGTTTCCTTGTTTGTTTGGTCTGTTTTTGGGAAGGGGGGGATTGATCGCTTTTTTTCATTCTTAACCATTTTCATGCCCTCATGACTAGTCAAAACATTTAGGAACTCCAACTCTTCAACATACTGATACTGAAGAAAGGTAAAGTCAAAGCCAGCTTACACGCTAGGATAGCCATCCTACGCAGCGTATCTCGGTTTTCAGTAGCATGAAGCGACTTCAAGCTACTGCTGCTCCCTAGAGTTCACCATGCTCATCTCACTTTCTCTCTCTCTCTCTCTCTCTCTCTCTCTCTCTCTCTCTCTCTCTTTCTCTCTCTGTGTTTGTCTCCCTGTCTCTACCCCTCTCACGCTGAAAATAACCTCAACATACCCTTTTCTTTCGCAACAGGAAACAAAATTTCCCTTCTATGCAGGTGCCCAGATCACAGTGGGCCTCTGTGTTGGAATGAAAGTTCAGGGTCACACAAGATGGCTTGAGCTCAAGATACCTTACAAGAACACAAACTTATATGGAATTTTCGTATTGGATTCCCCACAGCCTCTTAGTGGAATTGATTCTTCACAATGGAAATCATTGATTAATGGATCTTCTATGCCTGAAGTAAGTAGAAAACAATTTAGTTTTACGGTGATTCTTAGAGTTGAATAACATTTAACACTGATATATGTTAAGTTATGAACCGACTTTCAATGGAAAAGTAAGAGTTCAAAAAGTGTTGTTCTTGTTCCGTTAGAACTGTTCAAACAGCGAAAAAAGTGGTTTTAACGTTCATCAAGAAAGCTCTGCGGCAGGTGCAAAAGCTCGACTTGGACTGATAGCACGGAGCAGAGATCCATGCGTTGGCGATCCCGATACAAGGATTGGGTTTGGAACTGCAGGCAGCATTGGGGGAACAGACCCTAACAACACATGTGGAAACGTATATATCTCAAGTTCTGGCGCACTTATCAATAAATCCATCAAGGCATTCTGTTATATATTCATTAAATAGTTCACATGATTCGGCGCATAAAGAATTAAAAAACGCGTTCGGAGAAAAGGATCTCCGACGGTGGGTTTCCGCGGGGTTACTCTTCCAACACTATAAACTCGGGGCATTTCGAAAAGTAGCGAGATCCTCCTCTTTGGCTTGGAAATAGTGGTGGAAAGTTAAGGTTAAAAATTTCGCTTAAGATTAAAAACTGTCTTTTTGTTTCTTGATAAGCAGGGACGTTTCTCAGCTAAGTCTATGCTTTGATTGTGTGTTTGTTTCTTTTTTTTCCGCTTGTAACAAATCAGAACAATGTTTCCTGAAAACATTCTACTATAGGTACGCACGTGAATGTTACTCGTTATCAGGCCATACTATCATTACTTAGATCTCAATTCCAACTCTTTCCAAAGTGGAGTAAGGTAAAGGCCGTGTAAATGATCTTTGAAATTGCAGCAAGTCACAAAGCACTGCCATGCAGAAATCTGAATTATTAAAGAAAAAAGTTCTCTCGTACACTGTATGTTTCTTGAATTTACGTGGCTGCAATCTCAAAATTTATAAGATTTTGCCCTTTTCGTTTTAGTCTAACAGTGGGAATTTTTCGAAAATGTAGTGTATCAGTCACCGTAATTGAATTTGAATTTTGAGATAGTGGGCCTTTGGTTCCATATGGACAAAATTGGTCACTACGCACGCACTGACTTTGACCAACTTTTAGATTCCATCCTACTCGCCTGTCTTAACAACCTCATCATTTGAATGTTTTAACAGAAGTTTCTTTCCTCCGTTTTATTCGCTTTGCAAACGTTATTAATTTGTAACCGACGTAAAGGTAATTTAAGAATTTCATACAAAAGTTGAAACTGATACGACAATAGGAAACCAGTTTGTTGTCTCAAACCTGCCTGATTTTATTATTGGCTTTTTTTTATCACGAAAAAAAAGAAGAAATTACGAAGGCCACAAGGGGAGCTACATTTCACTTTAGAGGAATCACTTATCACAAAAACTTAGAATTTTCGAAATTGACGCCTATAGAGCTTTGCCTTCAAAACTCTACGCTGTCCTGAGAGGGTCTGTATGGCAGGCTCAAGCGGCCGGTTATTGACTCGTTCACCTGCTGACTGGTGGCGTAATTTGGTTTCAATCCTGTCACGACCATAAATAACAATACACTCCATGCAACAACTAGTTCGGGAGAAAAAACTGAAAAGTTCTGGATGGTTGTGGGCGATATCCAAGATTATTCCAGAAAAAGGAGCAATTAGAAAATCGGATTTTGCCTTTATTCGAATCACACACCAGTTGAAGCTCTCGTCTGTTGGAGGGAAATATTTTCTGAGGTGTATTTCACGCGCGATTGATCAGTGACTTCGTTCACTACGAAACAACGTAATTTCAAGGCGTTTCCGCAGGGGAGCTAGCACTTTGATCGTGAATATCAGCATCTGCCACACCGAATTTATACCTTCTCTAGGGAAGAAAAGCACTTTTTGCATTGCACTGAACCTCGTTTGAGTTATCGTTTAAGTAATGTGGAGCACACGGAGTATGGAGGGCGAACGTTACAAGCAATGGATTGTCGATTGATCACTCATCTGTTGGACAAACTAAATTGACTAATAGCTTGTCGATCATTGTGTGTTTTAGAGCAAACGAGCTCCATTCTCTCCTAAAGCATTTCGTCTGGTAAATTATCCGTGGCACAACTTTTCTAAACAACGCTGAGTCCATCAAAAAGCTACTTAAAACAGCATTGCTTACACCACATCGTAATCAATACAAAGTGTGACATCCTAACAACATATTGAAAGACTTTCCTACTGCACAGACATTCAAATCAGGTATCGTGGTCTCTTGATAGCGAGAGGTAAAAAGCAGCCTTATCTTAGTTCGAAAAAAGGGAAAAAGTGAGGCCTGGCACATTTGAATGGTTCTGAGTGATCCTTTGTTTATTGTTCAACCTATCCCAGAGTTCTTTATGGGTTTCTATGGGAGCAGCTCTACAGACTCTGGGCGTAGCGGAAGTAGCGAGTGAAGTCGCTTGTTGCGCAGGCTCAGCAGCGTGCAGTTTATTTTGTAAAAAGAAAGTCGGTGGTATTAGATCAAGGCTGTACTTCACCGTGTTTCTTCTCCTTGGTACAGTTCTTTGCCTCGTAATGCTCTCCCCGAATATGCGACTATATCTGGACAAAATTCCTTTCCTCTGCACGAGACTCGCGTCTAAACGAACTTGCGACAATTTCGTGGGCTACGGAGCAGTTTACAGAGTTTCAATCGCCATGTCTATGTTTTTTCTATTATTCTCATTCCTCACTTACAACGTGCACTCTAAGAAAAAATTCCGCGCTAGGATCCACAATGGTTTCTGGTACATCAAACTCTCCCTGCTGGTTTTGATAATAGGATTCGTATTTTATCTACCGAGTTCGGAGCTTATCAGCAAGATATGGATGTATGTTGGACTTACGGGTGGATTTATGTTCATTCTCATTCAAATTATTCTCGTCATCGACTTTGGTCATTCGTGGAGTGTATCTTGGGCAGAGAAAATGGACACCCTTGACACGAAATGCTGGTACTTCTCACTAGCCTTTTCAACCGCTTTAGTGTATTCGATTTCTGTCACGGCGGCTGTGATGTTTTATCTTTTCTTCACCAACCCGGACGATATATCACAGTGTAAAGCGAATACTTTTTATATCAGTTTTAACGTAGGACATTGTGCGCTGGCTACAATAATTTCTGTGCTTCCGCGAATTCAGGAAGAAACAACAGGAGCTGGTCTCCTGCAGTCTTCAGTCATTACAATATACACCATGTATCTTACATGGAATACCCTTTCATCTCAACCAGACTCAAAATGCAATCCACTTGGCGCGGTTATACTGGAATATGACAAGGTATCTGGTGTGAATGGGCAAGCGATCTTTGGCGCGCTTTTGATGTTTGCCTTATTAGCGTTTGCGTGCACTGTCCGCGCCAGCACTTCACAGCTTGGGAAACTGGGACTCTCTTTATCTGACAATCCCGAATACTTGCGAAAAAGTGTCGAAATAAACACGAAGCAACGAAAACAAGAGAACATACCTGATGAGGATGGTAAAGGAGCCGAGGAACTTGAAAGCGAAGATGTCGCTTATAGTTATTCTTTCTTTCACTTTGTTCTTTTCCTAGCATCTTTACATGTCATGATGGTAATGACGAACTGGCACAGTCCAGATGAAAACGTTGATTTTAAGAAAATGATAAAGAATTGGGCAGCAGTCTGGGTGCAAATGGCATCGAGTTATATTTGTTGTCTGGTGTATATATGGACTCTAGTAGCGCCCTTAATACGAAGGACGTGGGGCCATTATCTGGGGTTGGACTTTGAACCTGCCAGACAGCCGAGCGCAAGAAGAGCTAGCGCTGCACGGCTTAGAGACGATTTCATGAAGACAAAGGAAAGATTAAAATCATCTGAAATCGTGGTTGATAGGAATAGAGACAAACGAGAGCTTGAGCAAAGCCGGCAAGCTAGGAAAAGGAGGCTTCAAGAAGCGATAAAAAGCAATCAAGGTAATGAAACAGACGTCGGTGTGGGCGAAGCAAGTAAAGCTAAAGGCAAAACGGAACACCAAAGTGATAATGACCCTCTCTGTTCGAGTGATAAAAACCGTGACAGCAGTGCTAGTGAAAGAACAGTCGAAAAACAAAAAGATAAATCCAAACTCACACCAACTTCGTCGGCCGAGAGTTCACTTTTGCCCGATGCGTCGATGTATGATCGGAAAAGGTCGTGCTCCTCTGATAGAACTTCGGAAGAACAAATAAGGCTTCCCAATCCTTCTATGCCAGTACGAATACAAATCGACCATCCATTCGAAAAGATTACCCAAGAAAGTGTTTTCAGCAACAGCGTCAAAGAACCTGAAGTTTCCAAGGAAATTCTCAGATTACAAGAAAGAATTCTTAGATTTCAGGCGAAGATCGTGAAAATCCAGCATAAAATATTATCCATACAGGAAACAGGTGAAGTTACTATTCCAAGAACAGAAAATGTTACGAAAAGAGGATAGCTTTGAGGTGCCTGTTCGTCATACCCGACACAAATAGATTCAAATCAGAACTCTATCCTGGGTGGTAAAGAAAACATTTTCGATTTTCAAGGTAACTCAGGAAACATTAAAGATCAGAAGCCCTGGTTCAACCAAGAAGAAGTTTTCTTTTTTCATTTAAGCACCCACTAAAAGTGAGAATTAAAAGCAGCCTTTGATGTATAGCTATTTTAAGCAAAGTATACTAGTAATTTTTTATATATACCATCATGCGACTGTCAACACAGTTCTCTAAATTTCCCCTTCATTGCATTCCCTCACTTTTTACTTTATTTTGTACTATAAGCGAGATCTTTTTTTAAGAATTTGTATCAAACCTGTGTTCATACTTACAAATAAAATAACATCACTGAGATTTCAGTGAAACCAGAAGATGAAAAAGAGAGAACATTAAAAAAAAGATATCTAACCATATGGCTACTTTGTCGTTCATGCTATTTACTCTTTGCAATTGTCCTCTCTTGTGTTTCCATTTGATTGCAAATGAAACAGCTATAGAGCCATCAAATAAACTTGTTTCAGACCAGGCCTTCCCCTGGCCAACTCTTACTTAATTCCTGAATAGAATTGATTTATCAATAGAGATATGCGATTACAAACTTGTTCCTATTTCCTTCTCCTCTCGGGTTGTAATCGATGACCTGACGTGTAGCGCATGAGGTAAAAAAAGAACGTTGGTAGTGTTATTAATAAGGAAAGGATATATGGCAAAACCGCAGGTAAAGCTGTTAATCAAACGGGATTAAAAAAGAAATAAAGGCCAAATAGCAATTCAATTTTTTAATAATTTGTTATTCTATTTAGTGATAACATATCAAAATCTCGATTATTCTACAGTATTCTTTGGAAGCGAGTGGATGCAATAACTTCAAAAGCCAGGTATCAAAAGGCTAGTTGACATATCTTCTTTCGAAATAAGAGTTAAGCAGAATTTTGTCACTTTAACTCCGACACGTTGCAGGTACCCGCCAATTCATTTTCAGTTGATGAGTTGAACGTGCCTTGCTTTAATTAAACGTGTCTCGTGCACTGCAAACAAAATACTTCTCCATCGAAAAGAAAGATACGTTTTCATTTTTCACTATTGTGGGAGAAAGAAAAATCCAAGTCGATCATGCGTGAGGATTGAAAACCCAAGCCGGCAGCTGCGAGTTTGCGGTCCGATCCTTTTCCGAGTGAGAGAGCTGGTTGGCTGGGCTAGGCCATGAGTCCTTATGTGCATGAGATCAGTCCTGTATACTGATGTAATCAGTAATAAAAAAAGCTTCTTGAATGGGTAAATTTTGAGTACAGTTTTCGAGTAAAGAAAGTTGTTTACTATTCGTCTCGAGCGTAGAACACAATAAAAGTCTGAGTCCACGTGATGATTCAAACGTTGGGTGATCTGGCCCGCTCTAGACTATCAGTCGATGAAGCCTAGGGCGAAAGTGAGCACACAAAAAAAATAGCGTGCGGGTAAATTGGCAAGAAAGCGAGATAAAGGTAAAACGTTCTGCAGCCCTTTCCCTTACGACCTTTACCGTAGTGCGCCCGTTCTTTCTTGCCATTTCTCGCGTTCCCACTCTCTCGCACGTATTTATTAACTGAGAATCTGTTCTAGGATATACTACAGGCTGTCCAATTTCGTGGTCCGATGCTTTACCAACTGAAGGACAGCAGAGAACTCTCCGGCGATTTAAGCCAAATTTTTGGCTCACAACACTTCCCTTTTAGTCATTAAAGGATCTTTGAACTCTTTCAATTAAGTATCGAAACCGCGACTTCTTTTCACAGAAAAGTTCATGATCTCTTTACGACGAATTCCGACTAAATCTGCGTATGAAAATACAAACAACAAGTTCGTATGATCAATTTTTAAAACTTACCATGCAGATTTGTGTCTAAGTCTTCAAACCAGTTTTTCCCGCTAAAAACACTTTTACTGCGTGACGTTATACCGACATAATTGTGCCACCTGACATGAACATAAACATATCTTTTCCTTAAGTGTGGTACGATGAAAAAGACTTCAGCTCAGTAAATAACATGAAAGACAATTCTAAGGATGAACCGAATGGTGATCAGAGCGTATGCTTCTTGTGCTGTGCATGCGGGGGACATAGAAGAGAGACAATGACTCGCGTGAACTACACTTTGTTTCTTCTACTCGTCACAGTGTTATGTTTTGTACTTTCTGCTCCACGAATGCGAGATAAACTGAATGCTATTCCGCATTTCTGCAACGAAATGGTGGACTCAAAAAGTTGTGACAATCTAGTGGGTTACACGGCAGTTTATCGCGTGTGTTTTGGAACAGCTTTGTTTTATCTGTGTTTGTCCGTGATAACGCTTAATGTGAAAAGCGTGGAAGAGATCCGTGCTCGGATTCACAATGGTTTTTGGTACATCAAGTTTCTGCTGTTGATTGGTGAGTAATGATTGCCAGTAATAGCTGTTAGTTTTTATTAAGCATCACTTACAACTTTTATCGCTAACCAGCTTCTAGGTTTTATTTCCTCAGATCTTTTTCTTACTTTTTATTTTCCTTATAAATCTTATTTTCTCAACTGACTTTTCTTGATGCTGATATTTTACCAATTTAGCGCGAAAAATTTACGCGCCAAATGATAACTCGCGCGTCTTATTCTATGAATCAACAAAGACATACAGCCTTAATCGAAAAGGAAAAAAACTGGTAAAGCAATTTAGTTTATCTCCAATAATAAACTGAAACGTTTTATACCTGGCCAGTAAAAATTTCTTTGCTTCAAGATATCTTGGGACGATTTATATGATAGTATGTTTTATGTTAATTTAATTTTCTTTAACAGCTTTAATCACATCCTCGCTGTTAATACCACCGTCACTGTCATTTAATCGTGTATGGATGTATTTCGGCCTGGTCGGTGGATTCCTTTTTATCCTAATTCAACTTGTGGTGCTAGTTGATATGTCTCACTCGTGGAGTGAGACCTGGGTCGAGAAGATGGAGGAGGCCTCGACACCTTGTCGTTCAAGATGCTGGTAAGCGGGTACTTACAGGATAGACAGTTATATGAGAGTTGAAAATTGATGTGATGGTGGTCCCAGCTTTCCTGATGAAATAACAGCTCTCCGTCTTTTCTTCAGGTATTTGTGCTTCCTTTCTTGTACCGGAATGCTGTTTATCTTATCCATGGTTGCTGTGATTTTATTTTACAAGTACTTTGTGCGGGATGCCGAGTGTAAAACCAATTTATTCTTCGTCTCGTTCAGCTTGTGCCAGTGCGTAGCAGCGACAGTGATCAGCGTTCTTCCCAAGGTTCAGGAGGCGCAGTCAGGCACTGGTTAGTGACGTCAGAGCCCTGAATACATGCAAATACCTATGTCAAACGAAGTTAGGAGCCCTTTGGTTCAATTCATTGTGCCGTGAATTCCTCTTCCTTGTAAATGTGGGGATGGGCGAATTTCGAAGAAACATGTGCTCCCCACCCGACTAACTTTGAAAGGAAAAGGGGTGACGAAGACAATGTGGCATACCAAGTCACCAGTTCTCTACCCCTCTCTTGACTCAAGTTAAATGCTCCTGTCTCACCTTCTCAACTTACGGTTAAACTAAGTAAAAGGCAAATGTTTTCAGTGAGAGACAAAAGTGTTCGGCTTTTTACGTGCGCAAGATAATCGATTGGATATAACCGCCAATGCTCACAGCGTCTCTTGGCTAATTGGTCTAGTATCTTTTTTTTTATTATGATACCGGCAGAGATTGTGTGGGAGATGATGGGCGTAGGAAAAATAACCTCAGAGAGTTATTTTTCTTTTTAATTGATGTTTCTTTGCAGATGTCGTCTGAGTTCCTCTTTTCTCCACGAGAGCGCAATACAAAACAAAGCAATTACATCTGAACTTCCTGAACAATTCTTAGATCTCATTTTTTTCCATTCATCATAAAACTCAAGATCAGTTAAGATCATTAAAGTTCTTTTCAGGTTTGTTTCAAGCCTCCGTCGTGATAGCTTACACCACGTATCTCACGTGGTCTGCTTTATCGCACGAGCCGGACGATCTGTGCAATCCTCCAGGTTACGTCATATCTGGATATGACCAGACGACAGGCTTGAGTTTGCAGGGAATTTTCAGCAGCCTATTTGTCTTTGTCATGCTCGTTTATGCCAGTCTTAGCACAGCCATGAGTGCATCAAACTTGAGTAAGTTCAACAACTAAGGTTGTTCGTTATCTTAATTTTTAGAATACAGTCCGTCAAGGTCGGTCGATCTTGGAAAATAATTTCATATTTTATCATTTAATGTGGTGGGAAACGCCGAGACCCATCGATAACCACGCTGGACTCCGGTCGAGAGGTCTGGCTTCGAGACCTGGCTGGGGCATTGCGCTGTGTTCTCTCGGGCAAGATACTTTCCTCCCAAAGTGCCTCTCTCTCCACGCATGAGTACAAGTGGGTACCAGTAGTTCGACAAGGAAACCTGAAGAAATAATTATGTTAAGGGGGGTAACATGCGATGGACGAGCATTTTTTCAAAATTTTTCGTCCGCTTTTAACATTTTTGTATCACAACTCTGTCCCTCTGGTTAGTCAAAAGTGAGGTATTCACCCATTGAGACATTTTCAAAATTTCCAACAGTATAAAGATTTCGCCGAGCCTGAAGAGGATCTCCGAATTATCAATATTTACTTTCATGTTGAATAGAATTTCAGTCATGGACGTATGCACGCCCATTAAAGTAATTCTCTCAGCCAGATGGGTCACCATCTGGTTTTCTTTGGAATTGACGCTCCGATACGGACTAAGCGTTTAGGAGCTCCGCTACCGCAGCATACGTTTTTATGCCACAATCTTCTTTCTGTCCAGACAGATGGCGTATTCACTACAAAGATCTTGAAACTAGGGCAAACAACCTCGCAACGAAAAACAGCGATGATGTAGAGTCTGTAGTCAAGGAGGACGATCATGTAGCTTATAACTATTCCTTGTTCAATTTTGCAATGTTCTTGGCGTCATTGCACATTATGATGACGTTGACAAATTGGTACAGCCCGTCACCGGCTACAAACCTTAGGCAGCTTCAAAGATCATGGCCTGCGGTTTGGATCAAAATGGGTTCGAGCAGCGCATGCCTTTGCCTCTATATATGGGCATTGCTCGCCCCTGTGCTTCGTCCAATGTTTCAGAATTACGTCGATGGTGAAGAAAAAGAAAGTGAAGAAAAGTCAGATGCGGTCAGCGCACTCCCAACGAATCAGAATGCTTTGAAACATTCTCAAATGGCAACAAATAACGAAATACGAGCTGATCAAAATGCTGCAAAAGCAAAAGAAACTCTGCATAAAAGTTCTAAATCGAACGATTTGGACGAAAATAGAACAGCCATTAATGATGATAGGGGAAAAGAACAAAAAATGAAAGATACTCCACCAACAGATACAACAACGACTCCCTTGACTGAGGCTGACAAGGAAGTGTTGAGACTCCAAGGGAAAGTTTTAAAATTGCAAGAAAAAATAGCTAAATTACAACATAAAGTAGCTGAACTTCAAGGATTAAATGTATAACAACCTTCAATTGTCATCAGTAAGCTGCTGATCTGTTTTGAAACTGAATAATGGTACAAACACAAAATCCATCCCATAAATTGATCCAAGTTCACTTGGTAAATAAACGTTTCAACCTCTTCTGGCTTATCATTTTAGTTTCTAGTTCTCTTATTACTTGTGTTCCTGGTGGTTTAAAGCTTTAAAATTGCAAACCAGTTTAAACATTTCCCGCACAAAAAAGGGGAAAAAGAAGAAAAAAGAAAAAAAAAGTTTCCACCAGAATTTCAAAGCATTTATTTCATTCAGCTACAGTTCTAAATCCCCCTTAATAATTCCAAGTGGTTCATAAATACCAGATCTTATTGTGTCACCATTAACCAATCTTAATCATATGTCACTCCAATAAATGCAATTTTTGTAAATACATCATTGAGTGCGACTAGAATTCTTCTTTTACTTTCATAAAAAAAAAAAATGATTCAACTTCTGAATCAGTAATTCTTACTCCTGCATTCCCTGTTTCCTGCCAATAAACCCAATTAACATACTAAAAATTACACTGTTAACTTTATTGGAGGCCAATTTGTGGCAAAACATAGCTCCTTACATCATTTCACAACCATTTCTAACAACATTTAATTAGTAGTTAGTTGTAAAAATTTTTAAGACACACAGCACTAATCCCTTCAGGCATTGAGGTTGACAAATTATGCAACCTCATTGCCTGATGAATGCTAAAAGCAGTCCAAACTCTGTAATCTTAACCTTTTATATCTTTCTGAGAAGACTGCAGTGAGAGGAAAGCAATAAAACTCTATAAATAGTACTTGGATGACACCTATAAATAATTTTTACAATGCTTATCTTCAGATGTGATGGCCACAAAATTGACATTAACACCCCAGATTGCTTCTTTCTCATGGTTGCTTTACAAGATTTCTTGGTATTCTCAAACAAATCTCTTTACAAAGGGTTCTTTCTATAGCATACCAATAGCAGTAATACCACGCTGATGGTTCAAATCAGGAAGAACATGATTTCAATAAAAAGTTATGCGCATAAAGTTTAGTTTGCAAGGATGGTAAAGGACAAATATGTAACAGTTTTTTCTGCACCATCACCTTTCCCTCAGTGGGTTACAGCTCGCACAAGATCTGAAAGAAAATTTAAGGGATATCAATGCTAAAAGAAGAGTGTCCAAACAGTTATAACTCTTATGTCCTGGCCAGCAAAAAAAGGCTGCTGTAAGTTTTTCTTTTTTTGATAAGAAAATGGAAACAAAGTGCATAACTGCAACAGCTTTTTGAGCATTTGCAGGAATACAGAAAGAAATCCATGATCACATACTAAAATGTAGATTCTGCAAATAAAAGAAGATACTGCTACAAATTCATATGCATTTCTGACCTGAATAATTAATAGAGCTGCCACCTTCCAAGTTCAAATCCTTTAACATCTGTTGAACTGAAAGAAAAAAAAACACATTTGTAAACTTAAACTTAGAAATAAAAATTTTGAAACACACACTGGAACATTGAAAGGAATAAATCATTGTAACAAGAGGGCTACTATTGCCATGGCCAGTTGATAACAGGGACAATGGGTATAGGTATAAAGAATATCATTTTGAAATAGGGATTTTTTAACAAAACAAACCTCATGAAAGGAAGATCACGGGCCAGGAACAATAGTTACTTTGCTGGATTAGGGGAACTAGTTGAGGTTGGTGCATTAGAAAAAATATGAGTACTAGCCTACAAAAGCACCCTGCTTAAATAGGGGTAGTAGGACAAATGAACACTCATAATCTAGGGTAGGATTACTGACTCCTCAAACTTTACAAGAATACCAGTATTGAAACAATAGGGTAAACTATAACCAAGGGGGAATTGTAATGGAGAGACAGAAACAGGGCATTCTTCCATGATTTACAGGCACTAACACAACAAGTATCTCTGTCATTAGAAGAAGGGAAACACCAACTGAAAATAAAAACAAGTAACATCACTGAAATGATAGCAAGTAAATGAAATAACAAAATGGAAAAGGTACCTTATACTAGAAAGAAGTAACATTCACAGCAGAGCAACTTAGAAGCAATTTGTAGGGGAGCATTGGCATAACAAGGTAACCACTAAAATGTGGGAGCCTTGCGAGAAGACAGCGTGTTCAGCTACATTAAAAACAATTTTTTTTTCCCTTCATCTCAGACACAGCTTGTGACAGTTCCTCTTAAAGTTCTGTCCTTGATCTCTAACCCTTAAGTAACATAAAATTGATTAAAAAACATTTACAAGCACAATACTCCTAGTGGGAAGCTAAACCTGTTGCATTGTAAGTAACTGCCATTATGAATCATTTTTGCAAGACACTTATCAAATCTCTTACATTCTGCAGGTGTGAGTTTATCCCCTGTGCCTGTCATTAGATGCTGTAGTTGCTTGCGACTCACAACACCAGTTTTGTTCCTGTCTAAAGCTGTAAAAGCAGCCAAAATTTCACGCTCTGAGTTTAAGTTCTTTTTATGCTGTTCTGCCATCATCTTCAAGAATTCTGGGAATCGCACTTTCTGCTTACCTAATATTTTGTAAATAGGAAAGAGTATTTTCAGGCTCAGATATCAACAGAGACATACAAGTACATAGTAATGATCAGAAACAATGATAATGCTAACATAATAAATCAATAGAGATACTAATATCAATGATAATGATAATTATTAGTAAAAATTTACATCATTATGATGTGGTTACATACATGTATGTAACCAAAAAATATTATACAACTTATAGCTTCAATGAATATTAAAAAAGCAATCTTTATCAGTCAAATAAAAACTTTCGTGGAGTAGTTGGAGTTAATTTCAAAAGAAACTGCTGTATTTTCCTGGAAAGAAATTATGAACTTTCAACTGTTAACAGAATTAATTTGATGAAAAAAATGGGTTTCCAAGCATCATAATGCCACTACATTAACTAGCTGAGCAAACTCATTAATAACAAGAAATAATATTGAATTGCATCAAAATTCTTTGTAACCTTTGTTCTATTCCATCAATGCATACACCAATAGCACTGATTAGCACAATTAAATCAAATGGTAATCATTCTTTGGTGCGCTTTAATGACAGACAGAGGTAAGTATGTTTCTACAAGTGTTAAATCAGTAACTCTTTTAAAAAAAAAGTGGCACTGCTGGCATTGTAACTTCTCATGGCATGAAAGATAAGCATAATTAAATAATAAACAGTTCTCTATTTGTATGTTTTGTAGACCAAGTAAAGATGCCTGTGTGTATAATGTAATACTCCAAGAAGATTTATAAACAACCAATCAAGTTTACATATATTAATTATTGAAAATTTAATCTTTGTTAGGGGATGGAAAAGTCTTTGCTTATCTTAAACTTGCCCCAATATCATGTTAACAATGGTTGCAGTCTTTATCTTACCAGCCTTTTTCATAAGCGCAGCAATTTCTACATGTGTGATATTCTCTCCCAAGGATCGCATGGTCAGTGCTAGTTCCTGTTCAGTTATCATGCCATCACTGTCCCCATCAAACAGTGAGAAGCACTCCTTAAATTCTATGGAACGATGCAAGAGAAAAATTAATTCAGTTTATTATAAAAATTCTGAGGTTCAACATATTAAATTTGCTTAAATGTTGAGCTTACTAATGCCCAGAAGATACTAGGGGTGGGGATAACCAAAGCTATGTAAGCTATACAGATATGTGCCATACCAAAGAGAATGGTTGTTGAACACTTTTTATCTGAATACAGATATAGAATTTCCCATCATAGTCTTCAACTCTTAAGATAAAGGTAATTTTTTGCAGGGAATTACAAGACAAGTACAAGTAACCAAAACACCAAAATATCAGCAACTAAAATTTCCAACTAAATTTTATTAATTTAAAGCATACTTGGATTAACAGACCATGTACAATTTTCAAAAATCAGGTATGAAATTAGGTATGGATTTTAGAGGTCAGCTATGAAAAACTTGTGAGGAAAATGATGTGCTTTTGTCAATAATAGGTTCAGGATTTTGATGACCAGACAATCCAGCTCTAGCAAGGTATTTCAAGGAGAATCTCCTCCCCCTGTCCCAGACCTTGGACTAAAGTTGTGTACCACAAATAACCACCATAATTTCTTTCAATAAATTCTACACCATACCATCAATTTGACTCTCTGTAAACTGTTCCACCTAAAAATGAAAACAAACCTGCTTCAACTTGATGGAAACAATACACTTAGCTTGACAATGAAATTCCATTTAATGAAGTAGCCAGTAGGCAAAAACTATTCACCAACACGGAGGTAGCTAGTAAACAATTATTCCACAAACACGTGTTGGATATGAGATGATAGATAGTAAAAGAGACCTGTAGGGCTGAGTTGGCAATAATCATCTCATATCCAACAAATGCAAGTGGATTAAATAGTTTTAACAAAAATGTCTCAAAATACAGATAAATCTTTCCGACTTTATTTTGTAAGAACAAACAGAATGTTGCAATGTACAAAAACACTTCTGGTTTAAGTGGTCTTCTTGTGCATGTATGGTATAATCAGTTAGCATATAATGTTTATGCCTATGAAAACTTCTGAATTGCATTATCCAATGCTCCAGTTTTCAATAAAAGTGGATATTTACTGAGCTGCTAAGCAGTGAGGTCAATAGCAACCAACACTGAAGTGAGTAGTTTTTTTATTATATACTAAAACAATTAAATAACATGGCATAAAAAGATGTTTTTAACCCATTTATTCATGCAATGACAACAATAATATTTTGAGGCAAAAATCCTGCAGGCATTGCATGTAGGTGAATTGCAAAGGATATTTTGAGTTTAAGTAGCCAATCTGAGTGCGCCTTAAAGCAATATACTGTTTTAGGGATATACTAATCATCGATTATTCACCAAAGTTAAAGTGAATAGTGGAGGACATTAACCAAGCTGCAAAGTGGCGAGGCAAATATCAACCACTTTCACCGACATTGAGGTGAATAATTGTTTCAGTATATTAAGCACACAGCTGCCAAAAACTTGTTTATTTCTCTAAAAATACCAAAAAATGGTCGGAAATTAAACTCTGCCGGGACGCGCAATTCTGTCTCATCAGCTGCTCGAAAATGAATAGTTTTTACTATTCACTTCCGAACCAGCCGAAGCAGCATTAAAAACAAATGAGAAATACCTGTGAAGACATTACATAAGTCATCCTAAAGAATTTTCCGAAATGGATAGGTATTTTTGAGGGTGACAGAATATATGCTGGATATCCTCGTAATTTAAACTATTTGATAGCGTAACTATGTTTAATTTATTTAAACCTTAATTGTCTCTAGCTAAAGTCGAGTATTTGCAAATTTAAAGTTATTGACGATGTGAAACCGTTTGTGCGATTCTTAGCAGCTAAGTTCATGCTATTTATATATGACAAAGTGATCGTGAAAAATAGTCGATTTACGTTAAGAGCACAAAGCTTGATGTAACAGTGTTGCTCAAAAATGCTGATAATACTTGATTACCGGAATAGTTTTTTATTATTTTAGCTTCAAACAAAACTCGACCCTGAGACACAACTACTAAGTTTATATTTGCACACGACCAATAATTTAAGTAAGTCAAATTAACACTCACCATTCTCAACAAAGCACAGTACAGAAATAGAGCAAGAATGCAGAAGGAGACAAAATGAAGAGGCAGTTTTACGTATTGATCTTCTTCCTTCTTCGAACCTAACATTAGTTTCCAACCTTTCTCGAATACTCTTTTCAGCTGGGGGTGGGGGAGGGGATACAATTGATTGAGACGGCAAACAAGCTGACAATTTCCTCCGTAGATTGCGCATGAAACATCAACTGGACTAAGGTAACGTCCATAGTTATTATTGCAAGCTCGTTGAAACTTACCACTAAATGTAATACTTGGTTCAGAAAACTAGTCTCATAGGAATTATGTACCAGAGATCCAATACTGGCTTATGAACAAACAACTTCACAATCTCTCGCACTTCTCTCGCCTTGTAGGACTCATATGCATAAGGAAAACTGTCTGTGCTTTGGCGCAACAGCATAAAATGGAGTCTAGTGACACCTGTGCCTTAAGTAAACAAGTTGCACTAGAAAGGTTTCGCAACTCCTGATCTCCATGGGTCAATTTCCTGCATGTAAACAACACAAGTTGACTTGCCGAGGGTCCATAATTGAGCGTAGACTGTGTTTTTTAAAATCACCATGCAATCTAAAAACCGAATTGCGTGAATTTACAACAAATTGTGGAAAAAATCGTATAAAACGCAAAAACTTATCTATCAATTTATCCTAGGTATAAAAAAGTGTAAAAATCCATTCAATTATTTAATTATACATAAGTTCGTTACTGCATCTATAAATAAATGAGTCAGACAGTGTTAAGGATATCGAACAAAGAACAGCCTTTTTTTTTGTTTAGATCAATTGTCAATTACTTTAATTTGCGTGCCTAGTTACGATCTTAGTTACAATGTTTATCTTTTTCCTTATTGGTTTGAAATCGGATATTTTAGCGTCACCACGCGCATATAAAAGCTAAATTAGCGTCCCTATAAGCCAGAGTTTCGTAAGATTTCACCTTGAACAGCAATAACTTCGTCTTTCGTTCCAAACTTTTGGCACAAGCGGGACCGATATGTAAGTGATTTTGTTAGTTTTAATTCTATATGTTTAAGTTTAGTTTTTCACCTTGGGCGATAGCGCACATATGTACTGTGTTGTACAACAGTACAACTAATTATCTTGAAATCAAGGAGTATTTTGAAATAACTAGACTCTCACAAAGTAACGCCCACATTTTAGTCTTTGGGCTGTTAATCAGCCGCAAATGGTCATTGTGTAGCCGATCTTTGAATCTCGATTAGTTTTAATTTAGCCTTTTATGATTTGTTTATGTTAATTCACGTTGATTGTTGTTATTTTAATCGCGTTATCGACATAGGCACGTAAAGCGTTTCATTCATGCTTTCGTTATAATATTAGTGCAATTTCAGTTTACGATCGTGATCGTGACCGTGATCTAAATAAACACCGTTGATAGTCATCTTGGTTTTCGTGGTTTCATTACGACCGGTAAAATAGTCCCACATCAGCGACACTTAGAAAACACGCATAGCGACACCCCTCAAAGTTTCCTCTTTCGTCGCAAGCGTCACAGACAGTCTCTTCGTTATGGTGGATGACAGCTGATATTTCCGTTTCTTTCTGAGGTTTGTTGGAGGCTGGAATTAGGTCTTGGGGCAAAATTTCCGCACAGCCCCATACATCATTATACATCCATATATGGGGCTTTATTATTCAGTGTATCACCAGTAAGATGTACATGCATAATTAAGTATGGGGCTGTGCGGAAATTTTTCCGGTCTTGGATCTTGCTAGACGGGTTGTTGGCTGTCGACTGAAAGAGTTGCAAAATCAGCTTTTCTTGATGATCTCGTAAGTTTTCTATTCCGGCAAGCTGAAGGGCATTTGCGTATGATATCCTCGGGAAAATGCACGATGGGAGCTCTCTTATGGACTTTCTCTAGGTCAAATTGTAGATACTTAGTAGCAAGTTATGTAACACACCGTGTTGTTACTTACCGAGACTTTCACTCAACAAAACGAGCATCGTGATTGGTTGATTCCTGGTCACGTGCCTCTGATCAAATTCAAATGTATTCCGACCGCCCACGCGCCCACCACAACATAATGTAACAACTCAACCGTCAACACCGCTACAAGACACACTATGCAAAGGAATTTACTTCAACGGGCGTTGTAAAATGGCAGCGCGACTTCCTAGCGCCTGTTCTCATCCTCCGAGAAACTCTTCAATCTTTCGCCGTCGTCCAACAAGAGGAAGAAGGGCCGGTTTGAAAGCTAAAGCAGAAGAAAAGAGGAAGAAATTTAATATTCAAGTTATCACTTTCAACAGGCATTTATATGCAAATTTCAAACTATAGCGCGGATTGAATATAAATAATGTGATTGCAATTCCAACACAGAGAAAGCAGATTCAAGAAACAACCAATACCCGCCTATCCCCTATTCCGCCCTCGACAGGTAGCATGTCCCAGTTTCGCTTTCTTGTTTTCATCCTGCATCTCGCCTTTTAAATTTCTCGTATTCCACATCCCGCCAAACCTATGCTGGACCCTCTTTCCGTCGTGCGTCAAGAAGAGGCTTGCTCGGAAAGGGTTTTACTCTCCTACTGTAGAGTGTCCCTGTAGGTGAGCCGTTGAATATAAAAACGATTGCTTGAAATATCATGATTGGGAGATGATGTCCGAACCCAAGGTTATGGTAAAATGGACTACTCTCAATAATATTTTTTTGAATTAAAATCTATGTATGCGGGAACAATTCTTGTCACGCAATGCCTGAACCAGAAGATCTAACTGACCTGCGGCCGACATTTATAGTACTCGTCGAATATCGACTTCGTTCGGGCGAAAAATATAATTCGATTGTCTGTTTCCTTTGAAAGGTTTTTCACGTGATGGGTTGGCAGGACGTAGCTTGGGCGGAGCTCGATTGCAGTTGGCTGGGTCTGAGCTAGACGAATATCTGGTGTTGTTAGCATTAAGATGTAAATCATCACAGAAGCATTTTCCGCTTTCATACGTCACATGTACACTTTTGTGGCGAGCTGGTGTGGTGTCTTTACCGCAGCGATTGACATCTGTAACTGGGCTGAAAAAAATGACCGTGTAAACCACCAGACTTTGCTCGCCGAAAAGGCATATTTTTTGTTTGTTTGTTTTTTTTCGTGTTTTGAGACAAGCAAGGGGAGGCGTGCACGGATGGGTCTGAGCTCTGCCCCTTTCCGTCACAAGCCTCGATTTGAAACTTGGGGTCCCCTTTGTGATGGGTATTATTGGAACATCCTTACGGTGCCCTTGATATTCATTTTGCAGAATGGCGCGTTCAGGCGTGTTTGTGTGCTTATTCCTTGCCGCATTCGTCGGAGAATTTTGCCTTGGTCATGAGGAAGAGGTAGCTAAATGCATCGATGGCCCTTATCATAAAGATAAACCGTCTCCTGAAGGGCCGGACTATGTTGAATGTCAACCTTGGAAGGAAAACACGTGCTGTACTGCAGGCTTCACTGCTCAACTTGAGAAAAGTAATGTGGAAGTTTTGTATAATTTTTCATGGCACCACTGTGGTAATCTCTCTAAGGTAAGAACATCGATATCAATTTGTTTGATAACAACTAATCATTATTTTTGTGTAAGTTTTGTGAGGATTGCAAGTCATGTCATATTTACGTTCCGAAAGCACTGTTCACTCATTATTGATGTACAGCCGTTATAGAACCGTATGGGTTGTGAGAGACCTTCGCGCCCATTCAGTGGTCACGTTTACCAAGCTATTACAATTAGCATATCAATTACTAAAAGCTTTTCATCTAATCGGGTGTAAATAAACCGGCTCCCTTAAGATAAGATTAATTTTTTACAGTAAGTAATTTCCTTTTACATAAGTTATTACATTGATATCTGCTTTATTGTGGATAGGAGGCCACGTTGTTGCAGCAATAAACTCTTCAACAATAACATTCTCGTAAGTCACTCTCCGGATCACCGTCGCGACATGAGCCAGCGTGTGAGCAAATTTTTGTTTTTTCAACTTTCACGAAGAACTGTCTTTCGTTGAAGTGAGAGTAAAGTCCGACGATAGAACGTTTTCTGCTGATGAATCGAAAAGTCTTTGATCGTTTGTGCCCTGATTGCATCATTGAAATCACGTGAAAAAGAGCAATTCATCATGCACATTGACTTGAACGTCAGATTCATCTGGCTGCTTTCTTTTGAATTTTGGATTACCGCGAGTTTTTCTTTCAGTGTAATTTAGTGTTATCAACTGAGTTGATAACGCAGATTGGCTACCGTAAAGAGTTTAAAGGCTGACGTTTCGAGCGGTAGCCCTTAAACACTTGAAAGGTCAGTTTTTAAACTCTTTACGGTAGCCAATTTACGTTATCAACTCAGTTGATAACACTTAATTACTCTGTTATACTCTCCCCACCGACGCAGCAACACAGTTTCTTCAGAAAATTACTCCCTTTATTTATTTTCCTTGCGTAACATAACATGATTCAACATAACATGATTCAACATAACATGATTCAACATAACATGATTCAACATAACATGATTCAACATAATATGATTCAACTTCGTTGGTTACATCGTGCAAAATAGATATAAATGTGACTTACTGCGCTCCTCATGCTACCAGAAAAGGAATAAATATTTACTTACATGAAAAATTATTCGTAAAAAAAACCTCAGTTCAGCAAATCTAATCAGATGGGCCCTTAATTTGTTTATTTTGCGAAAAAATCTGTCATCAGTTCCCTGAGACAAGTGCGCCCGGTGACTTTTAGTTCTACCAAATTTGTCAAGGCTTACCAAACTTCAGAGACGCCGTCGTCCTGCTGTCAGGCGTGAAATCTGACTTCTGTCAATTTACACGCCATGATTTGAAGGAAAATGTCAATCAAGAAAACTTGATATCTATTTTTAGTCGGAGTACCCGCCGAAATTATTTCCCAAATGCGCGGCAATCAAAAGGTGAAGATGGAGGATTCGTACTTCGGTATGCTGCATAACGATCCTTACTCAGAATACAACTATTACGGTTCCCAACGGTAGATCCGTAAATTCTTCGAACGTTGCGATGGAGGCTTAAAGTTAACAACTACTTTGCCGTGTCTCAGTGCGCCCACGCTTGACAAATTTTGTCGAGATTTTTGGTAGGGCCAAACAAATATTGACAGTCCAGTGCGTCCAGACTATGTCACGCTACGTCCCCCGACAGCAACTATTACGGTTCCCAACCTTGCGGCACCACTTTTTAATCTTCCCATCAGAACTTAGGGAAAGCACAGTAAAGCTTATTTGACTGGATTTTATGTGAAATAAACAGCGCTAAACAAAGCAATCGTTGAATCACGTTTTGAAAACAAATGTCCCCTATGGAGGGTAACACTCCTCTCACTGTATACTAGTAGAGAATATTTGATCTTAAAGGATCCTAGTCAAAATCGCCTCTGTTTTTGTTTACCTTCGGGGCGGACGCACTTGGATGATAGACCACAATGGCAATTTCACGAATATAGATAGCATAGAAAATGGCAGACCGAGCGCGCAATGTCTTGTTTTTGACTAGGATCCTTTTAAAAAACACTCGTACCCCTGAAACCAAGTGAAAATAATTATATTCTTTTGCTTAAACTAAATGTTTTTTTTTCTTGAAAAGGAGTGTGAGCGGTACATAAAAAACGAAGAGTGTTTCTATTCGTGTGAACCCAGCCTTATCAAATGGCATACCTCTGGTGGAGGCGTGAAACAGGTTCCAATATGTGCTGACTATTGTGATAAATGGTACGATGCCTGCAAAAACGATATGACTTGCGCTGAAGATTGGCTGGCGGATTTCAACTTTACTTTAAGCCAGTACTCCTGCCGAACTGATTCCAAATGTCTCAGATTTAGCGAGGTAATGTCAACTGTTAACAGCGATTAAGTGAAGGGCTGGCTGGTGTATGCTAGTCTTAGCTTTCGGTGGGAATCCTTGACAAACAGTTCTTTGAACAGGGACAAATGGTCCTATGAGACCATGGGGTCGCCTTCCCGACTTGCAGGTTTGTGGAAGCCGCACGAGAAAAGAAGAGAAATTTAGTGTCAGATTCTCTCGCAAATTACGGGAATCAGTCACGGTGATTTCCTTTTACAAATTCTTATGAAAGCTTCAATTTTCTTTCGTTTATTTTGCAATACAGCGGTTGTTTTATATATATTTTCCTTAGAAATTTTACGCGAGAAATTGGCGCGCGGGTGACCAAAATTGGTCTCTTCGCGAATCCCCTACGTTTTACCGCTGTGTTGTGACAGTTTCTCAAGCCTGAGTTTAGAAAACACGAGAAGAAGTCATCGTCAGGGTTTTCATGAAGACGACTTCCGCTTTCATAATCGAAACGTAATTTCCTGTTGTCATTAAGTTGTATTTTCATTTTCATTTTCAGCTGTATAAAGACGGTGAAGGATTGTGTAACAAAATGTGGGGACAATCATTTACGTACGAAAAGAGCAACAATTGTATGGTGATGTGGTTCGATGGCAAGAACCCAAACGAAAAGGTCAAGCTTAATACGACCGGCGAGAACCCAGCCGGTGCCGCAGTAACAAGCTACCAGTCTAAGTTCATCAATATAGCTTTGGCTCTAAGCTTAATTAAATTACTTTGTTAAGTTTTCTACTACCAGTGATAAACATGGTATACTTGTGTGTTTTCCGAACTGTAAGTCCATCCCACTGTATGTCGATCACACAAGCTGTAGAACCTGGCGTACAATTGTTTAATTTTTGTGTAATTTCTATTCTGTTAATCCTACTTCTACTTTCATATTGCGTAATTTATGAAATAACTTAATTTTATTTTTTTAAAATTTTTAAAATTTTTTAAATTTTAATTGTAATTGATGTATTTTAACAGGGAAGAGCCACCTGTTTTATCTGTTAATAAACAATTATTATTATTATTATTATTATTACTTTACATCAAATTTTAAATTTGCGCCGTCAACATTTTATTCAATCTATAGCCCAACAATGTATCCGCTCTGTAGTAACGCACGAGCAAAAAGGTGGAGATTTTATTTTATCCACTATGGCTGACGCTGACTACAAGAATCGAGCTGCTCTGGGAGCGAGAATGGAACGTTTTAGCTGTAATTCTGATTTGAACCTTAATTAGACTAAAAAACAAATATAAGAAGGGAAAAAAATAGAGCCAAAAAAGATTGTGTTGAAAGTCGCTGAACTGTTTCGAATTTTGCCTATTAATTCATTGGATACCGTTAGTTAAATTTTGCGCAAAATGGTGGGTACCAATTAAAGGAAAATACTTACTATGTTAGTGGAAATGTTCTTTTGAGCACGGTAGTTTTGAAAGTAAGTTGAGTCACTTTGTGCAAGAAATAAATATAGTAATAAACGAGGTTTACTGGGTTTGCCCCAGAATTAGTAACCGCTGTGCTTTCTTCGTGTATTTTATCAAATTGTGCAGTAATATATTTTAAAAAATGCGTTAAATAGAGAGACAGATTTTTTAGTTGAAGTCGTTGATGGCTTCTAACATGTTCTATTATTCGGTATTAATTTTCCGGTAGACACGGTCTCCATTTCACTTGCAGTTTGAGGTTCTTTATGTAAGTGTTACTGTAACAGCTGAGTACTAGCCTGCGAGAGGGCTCTCTTTGGCCCTGCGACACAAGCGGCGGACCCTCGTGTTTCGCGCCGGACGACTGTGCATGCAAAAAGTCTGCGAAGGTCCTGGGAGAAGTTTGGTATACCACACCCCTTAGGGACCTTCCACACACCTTGTACCGCCGTAGCGCCGTAGCGCCAAACGTAGTCTGCTTGAATTCTACTTAGGGACCTATTGACCCATTCCTCATAAAATACATGGTTCGGAAGAAAGGTGTTTCCGAATAAGGTATCGCACAAGGCTAAGCTTCAGAACTTCTCTCTTTGAATGACTTCCTTCCACCACACGAAACAAGTTTAATACACCCCACAGACTCGAGCACCCACCCCGCTCCCCCTTGCCTGCTCCTAGCCTTTCACACGCTCAAACTCCAAAAAAAACGCTAACCATGACGGGTTTCACTATTTAGAGGCAACAGTGAAGAAGGAAGGGGGGGGGGGGGGGGGGGGGAAAACGAGGGAGGGGGAAAAAGGTGGAAGAGGTATTCCAACTTCAAGAAGCGAAGTTTGTGATATGTAAATTCATAAACAAAGCAACAACATCAGCATACCACAAAACTACCACAGCTTTAATGCACTTATTTCCCTACGACATTCATTTCTAATAATTTTAGCTTAAGCCACACACTTCATTATCGTAATAAGGTCACCCATTCAAACATTGAATTATTAATCACCATTTCAATTACCTGAAATATCACTCGAATGAATACCATTTAATATCCTTAAACCTGGCTTCATCTACCTAAAGAATGCTACTTTACAATTTACCAACTGTTACAGAAATATATTTCAATTTAATATCAGATTAATTTAATTAGGAAGCATTAAACTTTACGAAATGAGGGATCTGGAATTTGAGTCTACAGATTCCAAACTGATGCTCACCACAATGTTGAAAATCCCAGAGCCAACAAATCATAGTTTTAACGATTTTTGCGAGATAAAATTTTTTTATAGTTCTAATTTTCGCTCAAGGAAGAGTAAGACTTGTATATGTACATGTATGTATGTACATCTTTCATACTTATAAAAATGAGAAAATAAATTTCAGGGAGTTTTTTTCTTAGTGCAAATTTCATAACGTCGACTATAATCCTAGTAATCGTAGTAAATCTGTATCTCGGCGGTTATCTGAATGAAATATCCTGACAATGTAAGTTTCAATTTGTCTATAAACGGTGACAATTGCATTTTTAAGAAACATACTCGTTTTTCCTCCTCGTAATTTTGGTCATTGGATAATTGTAATAATAATAATGAGAACTTGTAGTATGGAATGTGATTTCTCTGATGAAAACCATCAATTTTCACAATATCGTATAATGCACATGTGTCACATGTGTAAGTCACTTGTTTTTGTTTGTCTTAAATGCGTTAAAAATGGAAACCGTGTTTAAGTTATCTTGATTCTGAGTGAAAGGTTTTTTGTGCTGAGTATAGTGAAAAGTAATTTGGTTTTGTAATAGCTGTCAAACAATTCTCAGATATAAAGACCAGATGGTATGAAATTTTATGACAAACAGGCTATAAACTTTTACTTCACTGATAAATGAATCTAATGGAGCTCCAGAGGAGTGATTTTTTCAACACTGTCCCCTTGCCTTCCTTCTTGTGACTGCAATAGCATTCCATTGCATTCAAGTTCTAAGATAAATGACAGAAAAAATTCCTTTCTAAATCACTATTAATGAATATTAAAATAATGGATTCGTATGTGATTTGACAAAATGCTAATAATTATCTTGCATCAGTAAATGAAATAAACTTGTTGTGCTTATAGGGATCACGTGATGCATAAATGTAGTACATGGAAATTAATATCCAAAATGTGAACACTAAAAAGTACAGTAATGTAATAATGGCTAATGATGGAGTTTTACTAAAAACATTTACATAGTTGAAAATATGTACCGACTAATAAAGACACAATTGGAAACTAACACACAGCAGAAATTCTGCAATTAGCTTGTTAAGGTAACTGACATTCCTTACATTACACCCATGGGTTGATAAATATTTTCCTTGCAAAATTATTCATCTAGGAATATTCATGTGGTTAGTTCTGAATTGAAATGACATATAACATTTCTATTCAACTAAATCTTATGGCTACGTCACAAAGATTTTTAATTCATATTTAACTTATTAACTAGACTACATAATTATACACTTTTCCAACAGGTTAACAAAATGTTTCATTTGATTGGAGTGCACTCACTACAATTTTGTTAACCAAAAAATGAATTCAATACACAATTAATATGTTAAGTTCTTGAGTTTAATTAGCAGCCACATACTCAGAATCTGGATATCGTATACTGAGTGCAAACTTTGCACAACTGTATTTTCTGTTGTAATATTATTAGAAGAGGCTCGATGTACTGTCAAAACCAGTAGTGATTAGAAAAGGAAGCTGAACTTAACAATGCATAACATTTTACATACAAAAGCACTCAAATTTAACCAAACACATTCATTGTTAAAAGCATTACTCTTGTGTAAAGAAATCTTAGCTGCTCAGCACAAGTACATGTAAAAACTGTATGAATGTATTGAATCAAACTGTGAACACAGTTACAGAACATTAAAATTATTCACATCTTAAAAACTTCTCAGTGGTATAGAGCACAATTTTATCCAAATTGTGGTCCTGTTGTGGGAGGCTGAAGTCTGAAAACTGATGAAAGAAAAGGATAAAACATCAGTTTTACTATGCCAAGAACCCATCAGAATAACACAACAATTTAATGGTTACATCAGGTCAAGGGTTACTTCACAGAGTCAGTAATAAACTTTTTAAATCTTCAGTTGTCACCAGAATAGAGTAAAAAATGAAGTAATTGTTCATGTAAAATGAGCAGGAATGCTAACTTTTGAAATTTGATTGTGGTGGCAGCTAATAACTGGTTACATATTTGATATGCAAAATAATGGATCCATTGTGGTGTGAACCAAACTTGCACCATTTATTTTCTGTAAAATGATCTTGTAGTACTCAACAGTGTAGCACCTGCATGTTATATGGACATTGCAGTGAATGTCTCCTCAGAACAGGTGTCACTGTAACATTTGAACTAAAGAGGGTTACACTCATAATTGGACTAGACTATGTACATTTGGTACACTTACATGTTAGCAGGCTGTTTCACATCAGAGAACCATTCTAAGGACTGGCTGGTTTGGCATGTGGTTGCCTGTGTCGGAATTGCTCATTGCCATGCAGAACATGCTCACCATTTTCTCCCCTTCTCTTGATACCATTACCATTATGCATGAGATCAGCTTCAGAACAAACACAAGAATACTAACATAAATTACCAGAGCTTACCATGATACACTTTATTATTCAAAACTGTGTTTTCAGATTTCTACTGAAAAAGAAGTACATATATGTGTATAATATAGTTTGTGTAGATAAGAAAGAAAGAAGACAAACTCTTAATTGTTCCAACATTAAATTTGATGTATTGGCCTGTGGCCTTCTTCAGCTACATACAAGTGAAAATCAAAAAGCTAAAAATCACCAAGGACTGTGACATCACAACAGTGTTTATATACTCTCATCAAAACACACCAATCAACCAATGAGAGCGCACATATTATCTCAATTATTCTATAACAAAATTTTTGATGGACTTCACAGGGATGAAAAGTTCTAGCAAGCCTCACCTTTATCACCAGCTGGTTCATTTATTTCTCCATTTGCTACATTCCCTCCATTACCAAGCTGTTTGTCTTTCTCAGGGTGCTTAGGGATCTCACGCGTATCTTCTACACCAGTGCTCTTTCCAATAATTATACGAACTATGAGCCACACAATGAACGTAAACCACCAAATGTTCATTAAAAATAGCACCCACAGCATTGCATTAAAAAAGAAGTAAAAGGGAGCAGTAGGAACGATTGGTCGAGCATCACAGCCACAAGAATGAAGTACTTTTAATGGGTAGAGATACAGGCGACAATATAACCTAGAAGATAATAAAAATGCTATTTTGGCCACTTCAATATGTATTATAGGTGGTTTTTGGCAGCTCCTGTAAGAACTGTAATATCTTATTGATATAAACTGCTATAATTTACACTGATTCCAAGCCTTGAGAAAGTCATAACTGCACTTATGTAAAATAACGGTAATTTTTATGTGTTTTTGATATTGCCAATCAGCTACTGACATGTCACTTTCCTTGTCAGGTTGATTAACAAATGACTAAGTGTTCATCATTCTCAAAAAAGGTTCCTTGATGACTTTTCTCATCAGTAGAGGCCTATAGTATTTATGTAATAAACAAAATACAGGTAATACATGGTTGCTTGTAGATATGGAATTTCTCTTCTCATAATCAACTCAATATCTTACTGTTTTGCAGAGCTCACTGATGAGATAACAAATTGAACGCTCACTAAAGTTCCATATCTATGTGCACCCATAAGCTTTTCTCTATTTATTACTTTTGATTAATCTGCCTCACACTGTGGTCACTTTCACTGTGAATCAAAACATCATAACTGCTCACTGAGAGTCATGCAAAGAGATCAACCTAATCAGAAGTAACTGCATTCTGACTGAGGCAAATGAAAATATTTAGTATGCTAAATTTACAATACAAGAGAAAAAAAACTATAAACAAACAAATTAAAACAACCTCACCAAGTAATGGTACTTACCATACCAAAGCAAAACACAAAACTCCTACATTACTGAGTACATCAGGCACTAGATGATATTTTCCTCCACGTGACTTGAAAGCAACACAG